CCCGGGCCCGGGGGTCCGGCAGGGTATCCGCGCCGTCCTGCTGGGGCCGCCCGGTGCCGGCAAGGGCACGCAGGTGAGGGGATACCGGGGTGCAACGTGGGTGTCTTCCCAGCAGGGGCGCGGGCGTTCCGGGTCGTCTCCCGGTTGAGCGGCCGGTAGGACCGGGCCGTCCGGCTTTCCTCACCACCCCCCTCCGCCCCGGGCCCGGCGTCTGAGCCCCAGCCTGGAGGGACGCGGGTGTCCGGGCCTCCCTTCCCCCGGCCAGGGACTGGGGCGTGCGGCCTGCCCCTGTTCCGGAGGGGGCCCGGGCCTCCCCTTCCCCGGGGGCTCCGGCATTCGGACCCACCGCCCGTAGGGACCCGGTCGCCGGGGCACTTTGTCCCGGTTCTCCTTCCTAGGGTCGGCCGCGGGGGTTCCGGTGCCCTGGCCCCGTTCCCGGAGCACCCGGCCTTCAGGGCTGCGTGCCGGGCCCTGCCACGTGCTGGCCGGTCGCAGACCCGTCCCGTTGTTGCGAGTGGGGACAAGGCCCCACGGGGGGGAGGTTGTCCAAACCCCGGTTGGGCCTCAGCCCCCGAGGTCCTGGCTCTGAAACCCTCACGGAAACTCACCTCACGTCTGTCCTCTCCCGCAGGCTCCGAAGTTGGCCGAGACCTACTGCGTCTGCCACCTGGCAACCGGGGACATGCTGCGGGCCATGGTGGCCTCGGGGTCCGAGCTGGGCAAGCGGCTCAAAGAGACGATGGATTCGGGGAAGCTGGTGCGTAGTTGGGAGACGTGCTGGGAGGGGAGATGGTCTGGCAGCACCTGGAATGAGAGCAGTCAAAAATCCACCTTGTAATTAGAAGCCTCAGTGACAAAACTCAATTAGTGGAGGAAGGTAGATTGCAGGGTGAAGGCAGGGGTGGGGGTTTTCTTTCTCATTATCCTGCAGGAGAAACATCCTGTAAAACCATCCTTCCTCTTCTAAATTGTTCCTTGCTTACCAGCAGCCTGCGTCCCTGCGTTGGTTCTTTCTGCCACAGTGCTTTTACGCTCAGGGGGTACAGTCTGGATGTTTTGTGGCTCCTGAACAGTTTGAGGTGAACGTTTATCCTTGGAGCTGCAGGATGTTACGGCCACGCTTTGCGGCTCATGTCTCTCTTCACATGATGCCTGGACTCCTGTGGGGTGGAAGACTTTGTTCGGAGGGTTCATCTGCATCCCAGCTCTTGCATAAATGCCATTTGCTTGTAACTGTACGGTGAAAATAGACTTAGGGGTGTTGCTGTGGTAGTTACAGTGAGTGCTGCGTAATGCTGTGTGAGAGACACTTTGGATCCCCAAGAGGCAAGAGTTACGATCTCTGACACATTTATTTTCTGAGGGTCTAATTATCTTGCCAAAATGACTGAAATATCTGGGGGAAACTTGAGGAGCAGCAAATGGCAGCGACTCGCCCCAAAGGTAAACGGTGTGGGGCAGATCTTGGGTATTGCCGCTGGCTGTTGTGGGCTCCTAACACCCCACAGAGAATCTGCAGGCCCCAGGTGGGAAGAGTGATGTGGCTTATCTCCAGCTCTCGCTCAAAGCTTGCATTGCAACACCAAGCCTGCAATATCCCAGCTGGTTATGAAAGATAGGGACGTTATCTGGCAAGGCTGGTGGTATCTGCCACGTGTGTGTGTGGCAGGCAGCACCCAGCTGCTCTGCAGGTATATCCTAGCAGCGTACTCTGGCTCTGTGATAACTCAGCTGGGAGCACAGCAGTGTTCAGGAGGGGTTTTTATGCTCAATGACGAAGCAGGACCTCTTTCTCTGAAAGGGGTAATCAGGCAAGCACAGAAGTGACTTGTTGCTTTGCCCAAACTGCCCCCTGCCCATATGCTTCCCGCTCCAGGGATCTTGTTTGTGTGCTGTCACAGTCAGGTCCCCAGTCCTGCGGGGTCCCAGCTGTGTGCACTGGAGAAAACAGCGCTGCTGAGGAGAGCTACTCTTGAATAAACAGCCATTGTTGGGGCTGCAGCATCTGTTAGTACTTTGCAAATGCTGCAGTGTAGGAAAGGCACTAATCCCAGCAGTATGCTGAGATCATGATATGAGAAAAACTATCCAGCAAGGTCAGTGCTTGTCAGCAACTACTGGGCATTTACCTTCCCACAAGGTTTATGAGAGTCAATGAGCAACTCACCTGCTTTGCCCTTCCTGGCCAGGCCTGCCTACTAAGGGGAGACGTGTGGCTGAAGGTACAAAGTAACAGGAAATAAAGGTTATGTTGATATTTCATATTGTGAATTGGTTTAAAAAAAATAGTCTAGGGAGTTTGTCTTCAAGCTGATGGTCTCCCTTGAAATACAGCAACCTTTGTAACAGTGAGGTTACAGCACTGGCCCAGGTCCCTGCACGGGCTGGAGTGTCCCTGGCATGAAATATCTTGTTAGCCACGTCTTAGTGTTGACACCCATGGCAGGGAGTGCTTCCCTGATGTGGGCAGGTCTGAACACGCAGCTTTCGCCCTGTTAAGAGCAGTGCCCTGTGCTGTGGCTGTTGCCTGTGCAACCAGGAATGGCTGCAGAAAGGGTCTGATGCAGCCTGGGCGCTGGCATGAGTACAACAGCTCTGCAGGCAGCTGTGAAAAATCAGGGTGTCCCTCCTGACCATGCACCCATCTCTCCTCTCTGCAGGTGAGCGATGAGATGGTGGTGGAGCTGATTGAGAACAACCTTGACTCCCCTCCCTGCAAGAATGGCTTCCTCTTGGACGGCTTCCCACGCACGGTGAAGCAGGCTGAAATGGTACGTGAGCTCCTGTTTGGGGTCTGCTCTGGCATCTCCTCCTTCCATGGAGACAGGGGTCCCTTGGCTGTACCTCTGCCCCTCTGAGCTGGGTGTTTTCTGTTGCAGCTGGATGAGCTTCTGGAGAAGAGGAGAGAGAAGCTGGACTCTGTCATTGAGTTCAGCATCCCCGACTCCTTGCTCATCCGGAGAATCACTGGACGGTAATCCTTTTCTCCCAAATGCTCGGTGCATGGGATGGGGTTTCCTAGATTAGGGGAGAGCATCCTAATTTTGGATCCTTGTGTCATTCTCACAGTGTTTAGGGCTAGCTGCGGTGCTGGTCTATATTAGATTTCTGCTCTGTTTGAGCTTTCCTGCCCTGATCCCTCGCCCGCTCTCCTGTGCCTGGGCCAGCCTTGAACAGAGCCCCTTCATTGCCCTATAAATAGGGGTTGCTGATACAAATCAGTGTCCTTGGTGACCCAGCTCAGCCTTTAAGCCCAGTGTCTGACAGGTAGTGTCTTTGTGCTCTTGCTTCTCTGGAGCTATTACTGCTCTTTAACACAAGATGTTGCATACATGTTTGGGCACTGCTGAATGTCCTGTCCAGGGTCAGTTGTGGCCGTGCAGGCACGCAGATGTCTCCCACTGCTTGCTCTTGCATTGTATCACCCTCACACCTCCAGGAGCTAGCCCCCTTCCCCAGTAAAGCATAAAGTAAAAATCCCTTCTCCATCTCCTAGCACAGCTGCTATTTTTTCAAGTGCCTAAAGAGGCCCTTAGTACAGAAATAGCTAGAAGAGATTTTTCTTAATAGAGAGAGGCTAATTGGGTTGCTATTGCGGATGTTTCTGTGCTGATGAGTGACAAGTTTAGGAGACCTTGTCCTGGCACCTGGCTACTTTGCTGACACTTGCTTTCTGTCTTAGGCTGATTCACCCAGCGAGCGGCCGCTCTTATCACGAGGAGTTCAGACCCCCAAAAGAGCACATGAAGGATGATGTATGTGAGCTCCCAAGGCTGCAGCTTACGTTGCTTTGGGTTTAGCTGATGCTTTGCAGCATCCCTGGAAAAACTCATTTCTTTTTTCTCTCATACCTTCTCTCCTGGCTTTCTGGGGAGTGTGGGGAACTGCCTGGGCAGCCTGAGCCGACGGCACTGCGGGGAGCAAGGCCTGGAGGGATAAGTGAAGGGCATGGCCATTCTGTAGAGCCGGCTCGGGCTCTGCCAGCCTCAGAACTTGTTGGACTCTGTCCATAGCTGAAGTTGCGGTGGGTTGTGACTGTTTTCCCTCCTGGGAAGTAACTGTATCTGGTGTCTGCTCGCGAGACTCCTTGGGCTCCTTTTAGCAAGCAGAGTGGTGTGTGGGGGAAAGACTACGATGCTGAATCCTTCTCTCTTCAGTGACTGCTATGGGACTTGTTTCGGCTGCCCTGGGTTCGCCCCGCTCTCCCCTGCGGACCTGGGGATCGCCTCTGCAGCTCTGCATCGTAGCTTGTCTTGGAGGAGGGGAGCAGGGGTTGTCATAGCTGTGGAGAGAAGGGGGGAGCGTGCCAGGCTGCAGCTAGCTGGAGACTGTCCCCTTGCTTCTCCCAGGTCACTGGAGAGCCCCTGATCCGCCGTTCGGATGATAATGAAACAGCCTTGAAAACCCGCCTGAAGGCCTATCACACGCAGACCTCTCCCCTGGTCTCCTACTACAGCAAGCGAGGGATTCATACAGCGGTGGATGCCTCCCAGTCTCCCGATGTGGTGTTTGCTAGCATCCTGGCAGCCTTCTCGAGAGCAACATGTAAAGACCTGGTTATGTTCATTTAGGGTTCTGTCCCAGGACGGAGCTCTCCCTTTTCTCTCTCTCTCTGTCTCTTCATCTCTGTCTCTGTCTCTCTGGGGCCAGGGAGGGTGAAGAGCTAAGCAGAGTAGAAGAGGAGGGGACAAGGCGGTTCAGCCCAAGGCAGGGCTGTGCTAATTCTCTATTAAACAAGTTGTTAACGGTCTGTATCTCAGTATATGTGAACGTCAGTCTGTTTGCGGATGCTGGAGATTTGGTCCCTAGAGGTCGCAGCGAGCCCGAGCACCAGCTGCCTGCTGCCAGAGACGGGGGTTTGCATCCCTTTGAGTCAAAAGGCTTTTGTTTCATTCTAGAGCTGTAGCTCTTTGGAAGGAGCTGTACTTTCAGCTCCTCCTGGCTGCTCCACAGGGGACTAGCCGAAGGTTAGAGATCAGGGGGGAAGGACCTTCACAGGGTGCCAGATAGGTGCTGCTGTCTGTCGGCTGCAGGAAATGAAATGCGGGGTTTCTCGTGGGAAGCATGTGAAGGGCTGTGTGTCAGCTGGGGGAGCAGCCATGGGAGGGACAGCTTGGCTGTGCGCATGAGTGCAGCCTGCTGCTGCTCGGGGCTGGGTGAGAACTTGTTCTCATTGTATGTGTTTTATTCTCTGTGGGATGGCAGGTTATCTGAGAGCACAGCCTGTTTTCCTCCCATTCTGATGATGCTTGTGGGGCAGAAAGAGGGTGGGTGAGAGCTGGGGGTTTTCAGCCTCTCCTCATTTGTGGGCCCCAATATAGCAAGTATATTAGTGAGATACTTTTTGTGTTGTTTTTTTTTTTAAACAACATGAAGTCTCTGGTCAGAGTCTGACAGGCGCTGTGCATAGCAAGTTGGGATCTCCTGAGGATAAGAAAAGGACTTGGGTTTCATCTCTTCACTCTTGCCTTGGCTTTGGCCAAGGAGTTGAAGATGTGTTGAGCTGCTGATCCCAAAGTCTAAATAAAGCCTTACTGCAAAACCAGTGATTTTTCAAGGCCTGAGAGACAGCGTTATTAAGCACTGGCTTCATGTGCCCTTGAGCCAATGACCTTCGTTATGAGATCATGGAAATGTACTTGTTTCTTGAGCAAATCAAACAGCTCCATCAGGCCATCCATTTGAGAAGACCATGTGTGGTGTGGTTAGTGACCCAGCTTCTCAGGGCCATTATGCTGCTATATGGTGACCTTGCAAGGCTGGTAATGACCTTTGCCCATGCAGGATTCCAGCCCTTCCTAGAGGACCCCGCTGTAAATGCAGATTGGCCCAGATTAAACTTTGTCCTTTGGCCTTCCATGTATGTTTACTGATTCAGTGTTACTGAGTACCCTCCTCTTTCAAGGAGATGGCCTCTCTCTCCTGTGCACTGAGCTGCTGTGGGCTGTGTGTCCAGAGCAGATGCCTAATCCTTAGGAATCCCTTGGTCTTTTTCTTAATAATTTTTCTTTTGTTGGAAAATTGCTCTCTGTCCTCATACATCCTTTCCAGGGAAACAACCTCTTCCCTTCCAGCAAACTGGAAACAACACCAGGAACTGAAAGCAGTTGACTTGTTGCTCTTGAAAGCATGTGACTGCAGGGACAGAGGTTTTGAAAGTAAACGGTGCTGGTTTCGTCAGCAGCCTGCAGTCCCCTGAGATCCCCCAGATGGCTGTTGCCTTGTTGATCGTTTCTGGCTTTCCTGTGAAAGGGCAGCCCTGGCGCGTGGCGTTGGCATGCTGGGAAGTCAGGATAGCATTTAGCATAGGACTGCTGCGCTCCGGGGTAGTGGAGAGGAAAGTGTGTGTTAGAGCTGCCCCGGCGTCTCAGTGACTGTAAAGAAATTCTGAGTGGAAGCAGCTTTTATCTTGGCATCTTGAGAGAGTCAGAGAGAGAGCTCTAGCCCCCTACACACTGTCATAATGGCAGGAAGGGTTCCCGGCCAGCTGGTGCTCCTGGATTTGGTCAAGAGTTTACTCCACAGCAAGAACAATGTGTTCTTCCACTCTCCGTTCCTTTTCCCCTTTGTGCTCACTTTGCATCCAGCTTGCCAGCCTTTTTCTGCCATAAACCATGATTAATTCTGGGTTTTTTTCCCTAAACCTATTTTTTTTGTTCCCATTTATTCCAGCTGAGTGACTCCGTGAACCAGATGAGACACCACCAAACGCTGCACACTCTGCTACATCACCCATTGCAGCCCTCCTCTGGGTGCAGGGGAGGCAGGGAGGGCAGCTGGGAGGGGGTTATGACTGATGGGAGGGGGAAAAAGGAGGTGGTAGACAAGGGGCTTGGGGGCTGATTTGGTTGGGTTTTGTTTGGATTTCTTATTCAGCAGAATCATTGTGAAGAGGAGATGGCCTTCTCCTTAGAAATCACTGTTTGGGGAGGCAAAACAATTGTACAGAGTGAAACATCTCTGCCAGTGATCAGATGCAGGTCCTTGACCTGTTAGGAGGGTAGGGCTAGATGCCATTGCAGGCTTCTCCAGGACTTTCAGGGCTTGTCTCATGGGCTGTTAGTGCTCCGAGGCCACTGCAAGGTTTGCTGTGATTTTTCTAAAGTTACTTCCTGTCAGCAAGGACCAAAATGAACAAATGACTCATCATTTCTGAAATGGAAAGGAAAAAAAGATACCATGGTCTTTTCCTGGAAGTTTTGTTTTTCTTGTTCTGCTGCATTCCTAAACCCCGGCATAGAGACTTCTCAAGGTTTCTCTGCTGCTGAACAAAGGGGCTGCGGCTCTAGTCCAAGCCTGCCTTACTTGGCAATGGGGTGGCTTTTCTGTGATCTTGACCAAGCTGGAATTCACACAATGCTGAAGAAATGCAAAAAAGACTTTCTTAATTGACTGCAAAAATAACACTTACTTGGTTTTTTTGCATTTCTTTTTAGACCAAATGGTGCCTTGTCTAACCTCTGAATCAATAATAAAATAACCCCCTTACATTTTATATCTGTTGCTGTGTCCTCTTTGACCTGCAGACAGCATGGAAGATGAGGAGGCAGATGACAGCATAGCCGACTAACAATTGAGCTGGGTGGATCCTCGGGCCTGATCCTATCTCAAGGATGATGTTCTGTGCAGTTGAAAATGTGGCTTGTAATTCTTTTTATCTCTCTTCCTTACTGAGTGTGTTCCAATGCTTTATATCACCATAGAAATGGTGTCTTTTGCTGGTTTTCTCCTGTTTCTTCATGCGTGACGCTGAAAGCACTGAGCCCTTGTGTATCCTGACCCTTTCTGGCCAGAGTTCCTTTCAGGTATTTTTAACTGATGTAATTCCTAGCCTTTTTCCTCCCTTTGCATCACCAGTGTGTGGAGGAGATGATGTTATTTCCTTTTCTCCTCCTGCAGCAACTGGAAGCCACATACTGTGTCTTCTGTTTCTGCTCATTTGCTTTTTGCCTTTCATACCTTGTTGCATCCCTCCCTCCCCCTCTGCCAGTGCCTCTCCCTAAATACAGAGGGCAAAATCTGTTCTAACGCAGGGAACGAGAGCGTTTCCTGGCCTCCCTTTATCCTGCCTCCACAGGGACCCTGACCCTGGTGCTCTGAGGTGTCTCAGAGGAAGGCTGTTCTAGATTTGCTGATGGAGGGTCATTATTTTTCCACAATGCCTTTGGTACCACCCTTGCAGCCCTGCTTGTGGTCAGGGCTTTGGTTTAGGCACTTTGGACCAGCATCAGAAAGGGTCAGGCTGCATACGCCCATTTCCTCCAGAAATGATTGGTTTCTTCAGCATAATTGGGCTTTCTTGCTCCTCTGCTATTCAGTCTCTCTGTGCTCTGGTGTTTTTATTACCTCTCTGTACCTCCGATGAGCATTCTCGCTCTTTTGAAGGCAAGCTTGTGCCACTCTGGCATTTGTGGTGTTCTTCCCTTCTTTCTTTTGATGATGGATGTTAAACTATGCTCTTCCTCGTTGTTTAGGATTGTGTCCTGTACTACTTGCCTGCTGTTGTTTTAAAAACTTGTTCTGCTTGCTCCTCCTGGCTTTCTAGTACGTGGGATGGAGAAGCCTTGGCTCCTTTGAGCTGGGCTTCTTCCGTTTGATCCTTACTTAAGTGTGGAGCGTGAAATGAATTGTTGGGGTGCTGTGGGAAAGGCTGCTGTGGGGAGGCTGTTTAGCTCAAGCCTGCATCCTCAGTAGTTGGATCTGTTCTGTGACCTGTCTCCGTCACATTGACCTTGAATGTTTTCCACAGCATGCGATGCTCTGCAGGTGCTGTAAATTCCTTCTGTTCAACGATTTCACTCCAGCAAGCTGCTTATCAGGCACTCTTCTGAAAACTGTGTTCATATTTCATACACACAATTATTCAGCAACTATAAAAGGGGAAAATTCCTATTTATAGCACAAGGACCAGCATCAAATAGGACACTGAATTCTTACTGATAGAGGAAGTGACCTGTTCTCTAATGCAGCAGTATTTCTGCTGAAAAGAAATAGCATCTTGGATGCGGGGGGAGGGCTGAAAAGCCCTGGGCCATCTCTTTCCATTAAAAATGTGCTGCAGTCCTAAAAATACAGGATCTGCCCTTCTCCCTTCCTGATGAAACCATCTGCGAAAGAGATTGCAGAGAAACCTTTCACTGTGGATTTGCGGTTAGTAATAATGAGTCCACTGACTCCTGATGGTCTGGTTTGGAGCTGGTCTTAAGTTTCTGATTGACACCTGATCTCTGACCTTGACCTGGGAGTGAGGAGAAGTCACTGCAAAGATTGCCTGCTGTGGGCGAGTAGCACAAATCCCTCATCTGTAGAGAGCTCGTACAATTCAGGGTACACACGGGCACAGCCCTGAAACAGAAAGAGCACGTGGGGCTGAGGAACAAAGAACTGGCTGAGAGCAATGAATGGAGGGGGTGGAAAGGTGGGAAGAGCGCTGGGGACAGGGGTGGTAACTGCTGCGGAGAAGGTGAGTGCATGTTTTGTCCGAGCCTGCTTCCCGTGACTGCCTCTGCTCTCCCTTCCCTTCCAGGTGTGTTGAGCCACGGCTTCCCCCAAGGCCATCGCTGGCCTTTGCCTGCCAGCGTTCCCTGTTGTCACCTTGTCCTTCCCGTGGTCTCCAGGCTCTTTAGGATGAGCTGCAGTGGGTGATACCAAGCGAGGGCCTGGGAGGTGGAGGACCAGAGAATGGGATTCCCCCTCCTGTCGCTGTGGCAACCGTTGGGAAGGGAAGCAGCGATGGGGTGCGATGGGCGGCTGTGCGTGGCCGTGGAGGGGTGTGATGGGGAGGCTGCGCAGGCAGGGCTGCGCTGACATCACGCTGGGGAGGTGGCGCAGAGGGAAGGGGAGTGGGAAAGGGAGAGCCAGGGAGACTGCGGAGGGAAGAGAGCTGCATCGGGAGTGGGCTCCAGGGAGAGGTAAGAGATGCTCGGGGCGGGGGGGGGGCGGCGGGTCGGGGGGGGGTCCACGAGCGACTGCGGGATGACAGCGTGCCTCGGCATCTTTCTGGCTAACGTGCTGATGTGGGATGGCTCTTGGGCAGCAGCAATATTATACAATGCCCTAAGAGCCTGGCACACAGCAGGGCTTGGTTCTTGGACAGTGACACTGGGTCAGAGCCTGGCTGGCTGGTGCAGAAGCTGCAAATGCATCTCCCCAGGATACCAGTGTGTCACTGACACTGTGCTGGGAAGAGCCAGGAGTACCTGTACCTCCAGGATGGGCTGAAGGGACTGGGGACCATCCCTGGTCCCTCTCTGGAGATGGGGACCAGAGTTCTCTCTTGGGATTAGAGCACAAATCATTGATGAAATGAATCAGAAGTTCAGACACCCAGTCCCCTAAGTTGCATCTAGCTAATAGGAGGCTGTAAGCAGAGCTGGTGCGCTGGGACTGAGCCCAGCAGCGTGTTGTTTGGGGTGGGAATCCTAAACTGCACATCTCCAGCAGCCTCAATGCTTACCCTGCCTGTGCAGAAAGCAATAGTTCTGGGGAAGGCAGCCAGGTGCACAATTATTCCCAGGAGCTCTCTGGATGTGGATCCTAGGGATCTGCAGACCTGGAAGGCAAAATAACAAAGTCCTTCAAACTGCTCTGGATGTTGTATGGTCTTTTAGCATAACAGTTGCATAACGGGATCTGATCTGCTAGCAGAGAGAACAAGGGGTGACGGTCACCTCTGTGCCCTGCAGCATCCCAGCAGTACCTATGTGCTGTGCTGGCCCATGGCCTTGGGGTGAACCTCATCTCTTCCTAATCCAAAAGCTGGGCTCACTCTCTAACGCTTGTAAAAGCTGGTGGCTTTATAGCTCCAATTCCACGGCAGGGGGGCGTATGGACTCTACACCTACGTGCAGGCTGGGCAGCAGTGCCCTGCAGCATGTTAGCAAACTATAAAGTGAATTCATTAGCCCTTGCTCAATCTGTGCTAACTTGACTTTTGCCTGTCAGGATCCTCAATGTGTATCTGACCGAGAAAAGTACATCTGGGGTCAGAAGTCCATTGCTGGTCACTCCTGTGGGTGTCAGAAACCAGTACTGGGGTGGAGATGGAAGAGGCACTAAGCAGAAACTCAGTAGGGCTGAAGAAACCTTGTCTGAAATCCAAGAACAGGGAGAGGCCAATGCTCCTGTCACAACCATTTTGTTGAAATAACGTTCACCCATTTCCCATGTTTCACATGTCATTTAAAGGGCTGGGGGCAGCAGTGGGGCCAGGGAGAGATGCAGCCAGGAACGCTTGAGAGTACATGAGAAAGCAGAATTGCAATAAGGAGCGTAAATATGCTTTAATTGGGGAAGGCTATTGCTGTGAGATGCATGATCCTCCCCTATGAAGGCAGAGATGCTGGGTCTATAGGGAGCGTTTGGGAGTGGCCCAGGGTGGCCATACTGCTGCTTATTTCATGGTAACTCTGTGAACAGCAACAGCCTGTGCTGCTGTGTGGGACTTCTGTGGGAGCAACGGGTCGGAGGCTCCACGCTTGGAGGCTTTTAGGAGCAAGCTGTGGTGTTGTCACCCAGGTGGCTGTGTGGCCAGCTGTGTTTCAGGCCCCTGACGTGGGCGGGCAGGGGAGGAGAGGACCTGCTAGCAGCTCTCTGTGCCAGCCCTCAGTGCTGCACAGGGCAGCTGTGGTGGGAGGGAGCCAGTTCTGGATGGGGCCAGGCGCT